CCTTTATTCTCAAAGCCTTGGAAGTGGTCGTGTCAACCTTTCTATACTGATGGAGGTTAATGACTATCAGTCTTGTTTTCTCGTAATTTTCCTCAAATCGAGGTATAATATATGCTGTTGTTCAATATTTTTGCTAATTTTATCTAGTTAAAGTTTAAATGATGCTTTGATTCTACATGTCGGGTAGAAATCCAGCCAATGTGAAGTTAGTGAAACTGAACAAATTTTCAAACAGTGTGTTTAAACTCAATTGTTAGTACTTAATATTTGGATTATTATTATTTTTTGTTTGTTTTCCACAAACTCATGCAATGTGACATATTTTTTGTCAGGTCAAGAATACATTACTGATAAAATGTTCACAATACCTCTTTTCAAAAACTCCCGACAATTCATATAAGGCAGAAGCACTTTCAGCCTCTTAAACTTGAAGATTGCGATTGTTTGCCATTCCTTGTCTGGGTCATAAGTGCTTGAGAGCATGCATGAAAAGATTTGATATTCATGCCCTGCCTTCCCTGGTGCCACAGTGTGATTTTCTCCCTCCCTGTGGAGCAAAGAAAAAGGGCTGGAATGAAGTAGGACCAATCTCCATCTCCAGATCATCTCTCACTAGCCCCTCAACAAAATAAATAACTCATTACAGTTGAGAGCAAGGAGCTTCATTTACTCTAGGCGATGTAATCACACAAGCCTGCAGGTTGCCAGCATCATCTCAAATACAGGAGCAATTGGTGGAATCCCAGGAGGAAGTGTTGTAAATGTTAGCATGCCAGCAAAGAGTAACTGGCAGCTGGGTGTTTGTGGGCAAGATTCCAAACTGCCAGAGAACTTTGCATCAGTGCCGATCAGGATTGCGGCTTCTTTATAAAAGCACACAAGGAGAGTCAGAATACATCAATACTGAAGCGCTAATGTCAAACTGGAAGGAGACACAATCATCTCACAGCCACATTCCACTCCTAATGCCATTGCCAGATGGTGCAGGATTTCATAAAACAGAAAGACAGAGGATTTAAAGTCTCTTTAAGATCTTCTTCAACTGTCTTACGAAAAAATGACAAGCAAAAGAGAGAGAATGAAAAGGGGATAGATTTCAAACAAGAACTCAGTTAGTGTCAAAGGAGACTAAAATAAACTATGTCCATCTACATACATGGATAATGTGTGTATCCCTCTGGTAATGACTGAACCCCCCCAACACACCTCACCCCAAATGTCAGTGAAGTAAGTTAAAATAAACAAAATTAATAGTAAGTATACAGGATTGACATGGTGAGTACAGCACCAAAGATGGACCTAAAGGTACAAAGAAGAGAAATTTGGCCTAGGAGATTAGAAAAACATTTATAGACAAGCATGTTAAAGATAAAAACCATTACACCATCTCCAAGCAGCTTGATGCTCCTGTGACTACAATCACATTCTACCAACAAGATTTGGCAGAAGTCTTGTTGGTAGAATCAACACAAATTTTCTTTGTCAAGTCTTGGTGTTTCAAAGAGTCCAACATGATTCCCTTGGGTCTCAAAAATTAAAAATAGGCCCATGGCATTACATTCACTCCACCATGGTTAAAAGAGGGCATAGCTGCTATTTTACGTATGCATCCTTTGTTTCACTCCAGGTCCACCTGGAATGTTTGTTGCCAAAGGTTTTGTCATAGTCTCCTTCACCAAAGCACAGTTCCCATTAAGATTCGTGTGAACTTTAACTAGCTTTTTAAGTCTGAGGTGGCAAGCTTTGTCCTGCCTTATTTCCCAAATATTTGGCTGGAATTTAGATATCATTTAATATTTACTATGGAGACTTGCTCTTCCTACAATGATGTTTGTTGGTAAGATGATTAAGGGTTCTTATCCAGCTTGACTAGAATAAATTACCCTCTCCTTTACATTATATGTATTACCTAGATGAACAAAAATGTTGCTAGAAACTAATCAGTTTACAATTCTAAACTCTAAATTATGAAAACAAATCCTCTTCAGCTATATTTATTTTTAAATTATTGCAAGAGGTATCAACAACTGGATAGTTCTAGCATGTATTATAATCTCATGTGTGATTTTGTTCATTCTGAGGATTTAATTTTTTACCCCATAAAATTGTGTTCTCAAATTGATGGTTTTGAATTTCGGGCTTCACTCAACAAATGCCATTCTAAATGTCATCCTCATTCAAAACTTTGACATTTTTAAAACCTATTTAAAATCGGAACTTTTTCACCGTAGATTTGTTCAAAATTGTGGGTTATGTCACAATCCAGCCAATGAGAAAGTTTGTGGTGTGAGTAAGACTGGCTGTGGCTCAGATACTGTGCCCTTTTTCATTCCTTTGTCATTTCAAGAAGTTTAGTGGTTACCGCTCAAATGTGTTAGAAAACTTCTTCCACAGCATCCTGAGGAAGGCAAACACAGCAGGCACATGAATGCCATTTTTCTGCAGAACGGATGTTGGGATTTCCGTCCATTGTTTCTCGCTGGGAACACCATTATCAGTGTTGTTGTTCCTAATCATTGCATTAGGAAACGGAGCAACAAACAGAAGGTCCAGCCGCTGATGAAAGGCAAACCTTCAAGCTGATGATCCTATCACTGTAAAACATATGTGCAGTTTTACTTTCAAAGATTTTCTTTTGTTCAGTTGGATATAGCCGATATTATTTCTTCTGAGGCCTAAATACATATATTTCTGTAGTCATAATACAAATTGTTCTCCATCATTTGGAAGATATAGAAATTTGTTAGGTTATAATTATTAGAGAAGCAAAACAAAGACCAATCTAATTACAGAACAAATAATCCCTAAAAAAATATAAAATTTCTATTCGTACAAATTTCAAGATAAAGCATTCAGATAATGTTTCTCTTACAGCTGACCCAATGCAAATTCACAGGACAACCCAATCTTTCATTTTGGTTTGCTTTGTATGAAACAGTGACCTTGATGAGGCAATAAAACATCACGGTTGGGCGGCTTTCCCCACCGTAAATTGCCCCACATCCTTTGGGGGTTGTGGTGGAGGGGAATCTCTTGTTCGAAGATGAGGGGAGCAACTTGAATGAAGGAAATGAAGTTAGTGAAGTGAGCGGGGTCAAATGAGCAGGAAGAGGTAAACTCCACCAAATAGGGTCTTGGTTTGTTTGAATGTCCCACACTGTACAAACATTTAAACATTTAAGCATTTTTACATGCCCACTGTTAAATCAACTATTATAAAATGTTGAAATTTAGTGTGCAATGCTTTTCCATTGTTTTAGCCAAGGAGCTCTGATCTGACACCATAATATATTGTTTTCTATATACTATAATATATTGTTTTCCAGAGCAAGGGAAAGAAATATAGATATTTTTTTAGTCTTCGAGCATCTGTAATTATTTTTGAATTTGGTATATTTTGCATAGATTTTGGTCGATATTAAAGGCTTCTGTTGCAAACGTGCCCAACTGTTTCCTCCACTATGTGAGTGATATTGCTCAGTGCCCAGGGCAGCACTGTGTCAATGATGGCATAAATGTTCATGTCTTATTTGAATCCTCATATTTTGAGATGAATAAATGGGCTCTTTTGGAGCCCCCAGCCCTTTAAAAATCTAGTATGTTTATACATATGGAGAAATAAAATCATTTCTTTCAATGTCTGTCATGAACTTATGATTACCAAAATTATTGCTGTTCTCAAATATTAGGAGAAATCTTTCATTATGTTTTTCTGTTAAAAAAATTCCTGAAGTTTAAATACACTAAGCTTACTGTACATAGCTTTGTAATGCAGTGACTCCCTCCTGAAGTTAATTCACAACATTTGAGTAAAACTGAGGCACTCAAACAACTGTATGGCCGGTTGGACCATACAGGATACATCCTGAATATATACATCATCTCAAAAATGAATGTATGTATTCTAATGTGTGTATCAACCCTAGACAAACAGCAAAAGACCTGTTGAGGAGACTTGTTGGAGAGTGTGATTATCCATTGGGAAATTATTTCCATTTTGACTTGCTGAAAAAATCTCAAAGAGGAAGAGCTTAAAAGAAATATAAAAATCAAGATTACAGCATTGAAATACACAGAGGAAAGAGTCAAGTCATGCTTATTTGTATAGCACATTTCAGCAACAGCGCAGTTAAAAGGGCTTCACGTGATTAAAAAAAAAACACTGAAATCAGTTGTGTTGGGAACAGGAAAAAAATCAATAAATATTACATTTTGTCAAATAATCAAAATCAATGAGAGTAAGCATTTTAAAATATTAAAGATACATCTTATTTATCTGAGACATGCCCTGCACTCTAAAGAAACTAAAACGTATTTGACCATAAAAACTATTTCTGCATTTGGAAAAAAAGAAAAAAAAAGGGGAGAGAGTGAAGTTTGTAAGCCAGTTTGTGGCATCATCATGTTGTGAGTGTAATTTGATTCATACAGGACTAGTGTAGTGGACTTCACAAAACAAATACTGTCACATGGAAAGGACACTATGCAAATATCTGAAATCAGAAAGTTAACACTTGGACAAAGATGTTCAGTTTCGATGGGCGATTGTTCAAAGACACAGACAAATTAGTTATAGAGCAATATGTGTTCTTTCTGAAAGTCTTTTGTAGTCCACTTTCAAAGACAAAGAAGAGGTTGCTTGCCAAGAGCATAATTCATGTACAACCCCAAGATCCCTAAAATGAGCAAAGTGTTTCCATCTTTCCCCAGGTTTTCAGTTTTGGTGGACTGTTTGGGTGCTTTTACAGTTGGATGGCTTTTCAGGTTCTCTTGCCACATTGTTTCCCCTCAGTGCACTCCACCTCACATGTTTATTGTTCTTCCCACAAAAAGTAAAGCTATTTAAAACCAAACTGTTGCGTTCTTATCGTACTTAAAGACTTTACAAATTAGATTTATGAGACTCTTTCTCCCCCTCATGCCTTCTCTCTTATTTCATGGTTCAGTTGCCTCACACTGCAGGCAAAGGGGAGGTTTTCTCTTGCTGCTTATTGGCCGCGGCTCTCTCGTTTCAGGAGCATTTCCATGCCTGCACCCGGCGCTCCTTCAGACACCGTCAAAAAAAATAAATAAAAATAACTCACTGTCATCGTCAGTGGAAAACACCTTCGACTCTTGACGGGACTAATTATTTCAAATAGCAAGAGCAGGAGAGATTTTTATTGGTGGAGGGAAATCGGCAAAAGAGAGAGAGAGAGATCTACCGCAGTAAAGACAGGTGAGTGGCAAGACTTTCTTAAGCTGTAAATGCGCGTGCTGGCAGACGACAAATCATTTCCGCGTGTTTGTTTTCATTGAAGCATGGTCACGCGCTCGGCAGCGGGCTGCATCTCTATTTTTTGCTTTTTTGTTTTATTTTATTCTATTTTAAGTAGCGAGAAGATGTTTCTTAAGTGCGAAGGTGAAGCGAAACTGCATTTGCCTTAACGTTTCATCTTCATTACATCAAACCTGTTCAGATTTAGCTCTTTCCGTCCCCCCACACATTTAAGTTCATGTTTGACTATTGAGACTTTTTTGTTTTTCAAAGTCTTATCATGGCGGAGGTAAAAAGAGGGGTGGGGGGCAACAGAATACGTATTAGCTGGAAACCAGTTGACTCTAGTTTGTGATGGATAACGGCAAGGTAAAGATGCTTAAAATGTAACACTAGAGGGTTCCCCGGCCCACGGGGCTGTCTCGGAGGAAGGTTCACGCCGTTATTCACCAGTCCTCCTCTAATTGGCTCAAGATGCGGTGTCCTGTAGGGTCTTTTTTTATCGGCTGGAAATCAGACGCATTTTTTTTTTTTTTTGAGTCGCATAAATATAAAGAAGAAAACAATACCTAAATACATATTTTAAAAAGATCATTCAAGCGTTCAAATCACCCGCTAATAATTCTGAAATGAATGCAGTTGTACTTTAAGGTTCGGAAAAGCACGCGTGTCAGGGCAGAGATGTTCCACGGGGATTATTAAGAGACGGCCTGCCATTGCAGACATTCACATAACCTCATTTGCTTCATCACCCATATGTATATAAGAGGCGCTTGTGATGGCTCTGCGCTGCTGATAATTGCAGAGGTATAAGGAAGGACTAAAAAACACCGTCCCCTCGGTGCCCTTTCACCCGAGACTTTGTAAGCTGCACTTATTAAAGCGAAAAGTGTTTCAATATGTGGTAAGCTTTAGGGGGAAAACGTGATGGGGGTTGGGATGGGGGCCCTCGTTTTTTTTTTTTTTTTTTTTTTTTTTTTTTTTTGTTGCTCAGTTTCTATTGGCTAGAATTGAAGTAAGTAATTTATCCATGTTAGCTCCAGGTCACTGTTGTAATTTCCATCTATTGGCGCTGTTAAATGTAGGGAGGGTAGTAATTAAAACCTGCCCCATATCTAATAGCTCATACCAGAGCTCAGGGGAAAGACGGGCTTTATGAATGAATCTGCTTGAATTCACGTGCAGATTTGAGGGAGGGTGTACATTTGGTAAATTTTACTTTATAATAATAATAATAATAATAATAATAATAATAATAATAATAATAATAATAATAAAACATAATTGTTTCCATCATTTTTCTTTGTCTTTCAGGGCCCATTGGACACTGAGCACCCTTGGGCCAGTCTGTCTAGTAGACATGTTTCAAACTGTCCCTGACACGTCGTCTTACGTTAAGGTAAGACACCACCGTCTGTTGGATCAGGTAATTTTGCTGGGTTCTTTTCTTTCAGTTTGCTTTGTTAGTTTACCACAAAGTTCGCCAAGGCTATTTCAACTTATATGATGCTTTAATTTAGTAATTGTGTTAGATAATGTTGCTTCTTGTTTTTAATTAGACAGTTTAACAACTTAACTAAGAGAGCTTTACGATCAGAACATAGGCATGTGCTGGTATGGGATTAATTAAATAAAAATATTTAGTGTTATCTAAATAGTCTTATTTAAACATGAATAAAATCATGAACAATATTGAATCTATTTAAAAGCTAAATATTTTCAAAAGACTTATAGTTAAAAAAATTTCTGGCCTGATGCATGAACATTTCTTGAAAAGTTGACTGAAAGTGCAACTTAAATGCACCAACAAGTTGAGCATCTGAGAGATTATATTTCATGGTGTGTTCTCTGTGTTTTGGAAGTCTGTTTTTTCCCAGGTTTTAGACAGAAAAACAACAAGAAGACTCAGAATTCCAATTGGGAAAGTCAGGGGTCATTGAGTAGCCCTAAGCTCAGATTCCAATATGGCTCCCTAACATAATGCTTCCACTTGGTGAAATATGAAGGCACGAATAACAGTTTTAACAGTTTGTCTCATATTAAATAAGTGCCACACATAATAGTAGATATGTTTGTGTCAGTTTCTATTATCAGCACTTACCCCAAAAGCAACAGAAAAAATTACACCGGTTGTCTGACAGTCTGTGTGACAGGAAATGTTTTTCATGCCACCTTCCAAGGGTGGTTCTAGACAAGGGGTAACTTGGTCCTCCGCCCATGTAGACCTGGTGCAGGCCTCTGTTTTAACCCCTGTACTGAAGAGATAATACTAAATCCTTTTCTCATGGTGAAATGCTCTGGCACAGAACAGTAGGTAATTGGTTCACTTTCACGAGTTTAATAATTTATCTTCACAGTTTCCCTTTAACAATGAATGAGAAATGGAAGTATTCCACTTTTAGCTTCAGCTGTTTTGATACTGGATCTCAGTTTTCATCTGTTACATCAGGAGTCTGTAACCTGATCTTACAGACTCCTGAAGTGTCTCTTTGGCTCACTTTATATATATTGAATGACACATTGACCTGTTTATTTTTATTTTTAATTTTTTTAATTTTTCTCCTTCATTTTCTTCTGTGCCCCCATAAAAAAGACTGTGCCTTTCTTAAATGTGGTCTAAAACTGCCACCATGTTAAGGTAAACCCTTTAGTAATAGTTTGGTAATATTTTTTATGTCAGTCAAAAAACAGTACTTATCTTTTGCTTATTTTTAACATGTAGGATAAACCATATGTGGAAAGTATTCATAAAAATTTATTAAAATTTGGACAAGTACATTTTCAGATTTGATTGAAATTAAACCAGTTTATTTAAGCAAGTGAAGCAGTTAAGCCTGGTTATTATGTTCTCAAATGAAATGTTTGTGAAACATCATAGGAATTATATCAATAAAATTCTAGCAGTTTGTTTGGTCACGGATGACAAAGACTTATTTTACTGCAGTGTCAAGGTGACTGACAGTAATAATAATAAAGAAATACCTGGTTACTCTGAAGTCACGATGCTCTGTTGTTGCAGTTTTTCTTCCTTGTTGGTCATTAAAATGTGGTGTTACGTCTCATTATCATGCCTTACGTCATGAATCCGCTCTCTGTCCGTCACGCTCCTGAGAGGGTAAATAGAGCAAACAACGCACATCTGGTTTTCATATGAATCCCGCATCTCGTACCGCATGCATGGCGCAGCGGAGATATGATACATCCAACGGATCCACACGTCTAGAAATAGCACTGAAATGTTCTTTTTTTGATGTTGTTTTTGTTAAATAAGAAATTATGTTTTATTTTATTAAATAAAATCAAATATATTCTGTGTATATAAAGTGGAAAAAAAATGTCTTTGAAAGCCGAGTGACTGCGTCACGTTTGACTGCTTGGACTGTTCATTCAAATGAGTCATTGTACAGTGTAGGGCTATGTTTCTATCTTAATAATCAAGGTGTTTTTCCAAAGGGCGACTTCTTATGTTTTGAGGACTTGTCCCCCCCTTTTTCTGAATAAGGGCTCCTTTCATCCAACCGCAGCGTTTGTGCCACCGCTGAGAGTCTTTGCGTTTCAGGAGTCGGAACAATTCCCGATTTGTTGTAAGAGAAGCTGAATAGCAGGGAATGTTTAAATAGAAAATATGAGCCTAAATGACTCTTTCTGTCAGAGGCGCAGGGAGAGCGGAAATATATATCGTGACGCTTTGTATTTCAGTTTGTTGTGGAAATGCAACCGAGATTGTTTCCTTTTATTCCGGCGTTTCCAATCTGTGACTCCAGGGTTAAGCGTGTCTTCGCAAGTGTTGCCTCCCTCTCAGTCGTGCGGGGAGATGCTGGTCAGCATGTGGCACGCCTCAGCGTACGAAATCTAAAAAAAATATTCCCCATCTTTCGAGCGAATCCAAAGGGCCCCGGCATTTGGTTTTGTTTGGTTAAGGCCAGGCGAGACTGGAACTCTCCAATAAAAATAAATCTCAAATTAATTATGGCCTAGAGCGAGGGGCCAGACAGTTCGTGCTTGTATGTGCTGCAGACTCCATTTTTTTTCTTCTTCTTTTTTGCCCTCAGTATTTTGACTCGAATAAATGCCTTTTAGCCTGAGAGCAGGAATGATCTGAATACAAGTCTGCAGTTTAATAAACAGGAGCAATGGCCAGCTTACATGGACTGAGGATGCTTCTAGTTTTGGAATTGTGGTTATTTTTCTCGAATACTACCATGCTAAAAATGACTGAAGGTGGTTATAAAAATGTCAAAACAAAATAGATCAATATGAAACAAAGGAATTTTTTTTTCTTTTTTTTTTGTAAGCAACAGGAGCCGGTTGATGCTGTGAGATACAACATCATGTCAGTTTCCCCTACCTTTCAGATCTTACCACAGATTTATTTAAGTTCAAGAAGAAAAGATGGGCCCACAACAATTGAAAGGCTGCTGCACATACAAACTCACCAAAGTGTCCGCCCACCTCTGGCTTGCTGCCTCCGTGCTGAGACAGAGGAGCTACTGGCTGGTGGTGTAAGAAGAAATGTCTGGCTGTCTAGTTCCAGCGTCAAAGCCAGATGTTCTGTGGTTCACTGTGTAAACCAACTCGCATCTGTTTATTGGCCTTCTAAAATGTTTGTTACCGCTTTATTCATTATGATCTTGGGAGTTCTTGCTCCCTCTTGTCTTTTTGATAAGATTTATGACTGGAATGATGGATTTTCTTGTAAAATAAAGGAAGTTTGCTTTTAAAACAATTATTTACAGGCTGGTAAGATTTGGTTTGACAAGAAAAGGCAATATTTTGGAAGGTGAAACAAGATGATTTGTGATATTGAAACCCACTTAAAGTTGGCATGAAGAGTGTAAGTGAGAGTAAATTTGACTTTTAATAATTAAGGTATATTTACATAAATTGAAACCATTAAACTTGTGGAGGCTTTAAATTATAAGCATGTAAAGCAGTTGGGGACCCCAAGCAAAATTTCCTTTAGGAACCACAATTGAAATTCATAAAATGGAAGTGGACTTTAGGTTTTTGGTAGCTATAAGCCATAATCATCAAGATTATCAGAAGTAAACAATTTAACATATTATACACATTTACAGCAATGTGTTTCAGATTTCAAGTAGATTTGTGGTATTATTATATTTCATTTATGAGCACAATTGGTGCTTTTCTCAACTTGCCTTTAACAAGTATAATTCCTTTTTAAGCCCAAAGACCTGATAGATAGATATATAGATAGATAGATATATAGATAGATAGATAGATAGATAGATAGATAGATAGATAGATAGATAGATAGATAGATAGATAGATAGATAGATAGATAGATAGATAGATAGATAGATAGATAGATAGATAGATAGATAGATAGATAGATAGATAGATAGATCGATCTTTACACAGTTAGTCTCTCTATGTCAAGATGATGCAAAAAAAACAAAACAAAAAAAAAAAAAACTCCAGAGTTTGGAATGTAAAGAAAAAAAAAAAGAAGCAAGAGAGTCACTAAAGAGTTAAACAAGGTGTCTCCCTTAATTACTCGAGTCAGAGCTGGCCTCAGGCAGGAGAAGCCTTGACCCTTAGCAGGATCCAGATGTGGTGGTCCCAAGGGTGGGGGCCCATGCCGCCTCGCCAGACCCCCAAGTGGAGTGCAGACAGGCCGGCCCTGCTGTCAGGAGCAGGCTCCATTTGAGTCTGAGGGGCCGCTTCCCCACAGGCATACTGCAAAAAAGTATTCATTATTCTTATCATTGGCCGAATCGCAATGCGTTATTAAACATTAGGAGACGATGTGTGTTCACGTTTGTCCAACGAAAAACTCTGTTTCCCTCCTGTTATTGGACGTTGATTTACTGAATAGCAATCTCATTTCTTAAACTCTGTTGACATGGTATTTAATTCATTTCATTAAAATGCAGATGTTAAATTCGGGAAACTGGCCTTTCCCAGTGTCTCTGAACACGTTCAGAATCTGGACACGTTCAGAATCACTCTCCCTCTTTAGAACATGCACTAAAATTGCGCTTGATTTGATGAGAACATTTTGAAAGTGCAGGCAGGGAAGAGGCGGGTGAAGTACCTTCGGAGGGATGGATCCCATGACGTGAATTGTGCACAGACAAATGTAGCAGTAAATAATAATAAGAACATATTAATCAAATTGATTATTTAAGTTCACTTTTGTGCGCTTTTGTCTTTTTATGTCTTTTCCCACATTACACATGTTGCGGAACGACTTTTAGATTAAATCGCGGCAAAGAGCTTACTGCTTGTAATTTAACGACGTCAAAAAGAACACCTAACATATCTGATCGCAAAAAACAAAGAAAAAAACAAAGCAACCCACAATAAAACCCTGTCATATCTATCTCAGTTTTGATTTAGAGCTCAGTTGGCATTGAGAGAAACATCTGTCCACTCCCAGGGATGAAATGCATTACTTCCACT